CAAACTGACATGAAACGAGAACTTGAGTTTATTCCTTGGTTTAAAACAACGGTGAGTCATTCATTATGTTAATTTGTATTATTGTGAGCTCAATTTTAATTTTAATAAAAATATAATATTGAACACTTTTATAACAAATGTAGGTCCGAAGCGGAATATATGAGGTTGATCCACGTTTATTGACTTTAGTAACTAGACCTGTCAATAATGTTAGGTTATATAACGGTTACTGGGTTAATGGATTCCGGTTTCATACTATCTCATATGGAAAAAACAAAAAGACCATGAATAGTGGGGTTTGTGTCAGGGGAACCACTTTAAATGATGATGAGTTGGATTATTATGGGCAATTGAAAAAAGTTATCGAACTTCACTATTTTGACTCATCTGTTCCTCAGTCAGTGATTTTGTTTAATTGTGACTGGTATGATTTGAACAAAGGCATTGTGATCCATCCGTTATCTCATATAGTTGACATAAATCCTCAATTTAAACTACAGACAAATGAACCTTTCATCTTAGCAAGTCAAGCTCAACAAGTGTTCTACACTTCTTATCCATCTAGAAATCCTCGTAGGAGAGGGTGGTATGCTGCATGTAAGATTAGGGCTAGAGCGATAATTGACACTTCATCTCTGTGTGATTGTGTAAATGATTATTATCAGGATGATGATCCTCCTATGCCGCAGTTGGTGCAACCCTCAACTATTGTAGATGATCATGTTTCGCTAGCATCTCCGGGAGGAGAACGAGTGGTGATTGGTGAGGATATGCAATTATCTTATGTGGTTGAACAAAATGAGGAAGAATGTGTGGATGAGGATGATGAGGAAGAAGATGAGTTTGAGGGGACAGAAACACCAGAAGAAGAAGTTCCAGATTACTTAACTGAGAGTGATAGTGACTAGTTGTATTTTCTTTGACTTTTTTCTTAAACCTAACAAATGATGGATGACCATTTATATTTTGCTTGTGTTACTAAAGTAGGACATTTTCTTTATATGTATATTATATTTATATTATATACATATATATTTTGTTTATATTAATAGATATTTAGATTTAGACTTATAATTTATGTTAACCTTATATATTTAGATATTATATATTGTATTTATTTTGAGATATTATTATCTGATTCTAAATCATCCTTAAGATTATTAGTAAAGGTTTTTAATATCAACATAATTCATATCCTTATTGTACTTAAGATTCATGATCTTGGACGTTGTTCCAATATTACATGCTTTTGGCATGATGTTTCAAATTTCAATAAAAAAATGTGACACTAAAAATTTTTGTAATTTATTTTGGCTCTCAAAATCTCTATTTTTTTGTTGAGTTATGATTTATATGTTAGCATATTGATACATTTGCAAGTGTTTAAACCTTTATATGACATACAGTAGCATATTCATACTTTTGTAAGAGTTATTACTTAAAATATTTACTGGTATTTTCTTCTTTTATGGATTGTACTCCTAATTAATTAATATTAATATGTTTGTTACATATCCATAATAATTACTTTTTTTATATATTAATTTGTATAGCGGTGGACAATATTTTCTATCCCTCAACTCATTCTATTTGGATAATATCTTACTCAATTTTAAAAGTGGAAGAGAAACTCGGGGTTACCATCCAACATCCAATCACCTTGGAGATATTTCCTTAAAATCATCTTTGAAATATCTTATCTTCTTTGCCCATTGTGTATGGACCTCTCTATTTTTTGGTGAGTTATGATTTATACATTAGCATATAATTTACTTATTGGTTATTACTTTGTACGAAAAGAAAAAGGGGTAGATTTCCTATGCAAGCCAAAGAAGAAAAGGAAAAACTGTAGGGGATTTAGGTAGTGTGTAGGGTAGATTTTTTTTCTCTATTTCTCTTATTGGTTATAAGTGTTGCTGCTTTGATGATCTCAGAGTGAAACAAATCAACAATCAAATTGAAATACCAAAAATCATAGGAACAGAACAAATACAGCCAATAAATCAAGTAACTAGAATTAAAACTAAAAAAAAAAAAAGGGAATAAATATGATGTTACCTTCAAGCGCTTCTGATCAGGATAAGAAATTCCATAAACTCCTTGTTCCTTATTACATCTCTAGTATGCTGATGAAGCATGTAATTACAAATATATTATATATTTGTATTATTTATATGTTCATTTATTCTATTTATGGTATCTTTAAATTTTACAATTATCTCATGAAAGCTTATGTAATTTTATTATTTTGTGTGTATAGATATGGGACGAGGTACTCGAGGTGAATCATCGTCTAAAGAAGCCAGTAATACATTGGATAAAGCACAAAAGCAACTTCGACGTCTTATTCGTTGGCCTCGTAAGGCTGCTCCCACACAGCAGCAGATGCCCAGTTTGAGTCAGCCTCCCTCACAGCAGCAATTGCCTACTTTGAGCCAGCCTCCCTCATGGCAGCAGTTGCCTAGTTTGAGCCAGCCTCCCTCACAACAGCAACTGCAGCAACAACAGCCCACTTTGACCCCCCCAGTCACACAGCTGCACCAGCAACAGTTGCTTACTTGGACCCATCCACTATCGCAAGTGCAGCAGCAGCCTCCATTGCCTGATCAGGAGCTTGGTGATGAGGCACCAATGGAGGAGGATGCGGAGGAGCTGGTTGAAGAGCGTAACTTAGAAGCTAAGCTTGCTGGTGAGTATGATCAACTTGATCCTGAGTTGGATGCTGCACTTGAGGAGGAGCTATCTCATGCTGTCCAAAAGACAGGACGTGGCATGGATAAGGGGGACGAAGCACCAGCGGATCCAAGTCAGAGAAAACTGCTCAAAATAAATCAGCGTGGGTCATTTAGCAATGAGAGATTTGGCAGGACAGCAACAGTTATATGGAAGTTTTTATATGATGAACCTGTGCTTTTCTAGACTAATTGGCCAAAGGAAAAGAAGAGGCTTGCATGGGAGATGTTCCAGGTATGAAAATAGGAATCAAATATTAATAGATTTTGATTATTGGGATGTTGATGCTAAGAATTTGGTGTTGGTGATCATTATATGGATGCGTTTGATAATTTAAATGTTTTTTTCTTTATGGTTAACAAGGGGAAAAATGATAGTTTAGGTGAAATCTGCCCTTTTTAATATATATATAATCAAGTTATACATTATCTAATTATATATGGATGAGTTTAAAATAGTTGAGATCTTGATTATTGTGATGTTGCTGCTTGGAATTTGGTATGAGTGATCATACTGTTGGAATGTGTTTGATATATTGAATGTTTGTTTTCTTTATGATTAACAGGGAGAAAGTTGATATTTTAAGGGAAACTCTGGCCCTTTTTTTTAGAAAATCAAAAATTTTAAAATTAATTTACATTGGTTGCAAATTAGACAACTTCTGCTATTTCTAACCAAAACATACGCTCCCTGCATACTGTGATGTTTGCCGGAGCTAGCTCCTTGTCCTTTTCAGTTTTGCCCTTCAAAACTGTGGTTTGCCATACTCGAAAACCCCAAGAACAATAAATCCTCCTCAAAGTCCCAAATTTTAGCTTTTGGAGGCTAATCAACCCTGCTCAAGTTTTAAACATCTAGGTATCTAGGTCTAGGGAG